ACTCAGGCAAAAGAAATGAAATGTAAAGATATGTACATGTTCAGGGCTATGAGTAGAACCTTGTTTCTTCACAAACTTAAGACTAAAGATGCATGATAAGAGAGATACGAGTTCAAAGTTTTACCTGTGCAGTTGAACTTCTATCTGGAGAATGAGGAATTTTCAGTGCAATGTAATGATTGGAAAAGCTTCCTTGAGGTCCAGGGATGCTGTTTCAATGCTTACTTTGTCTTGAGAGCTTCTGAATCAAGCTATGGAACTTCAACTGCAAAAGGAAAAAATGAAAATGGTGGAAACTGTTAGGGTGATTACAGGTCAGGTTTTAGGCCATGGTTAGCTTGCATATGTTGTAAGGAAGGTAGAGGAACAGGTTTGGTCAAGAATGCTCGAAGGGATTGAGAGATAGCACTCAATCTGCAGGGGTTGCTCTGTTTGAGCAGTTTCAAGGTGATTTTGAGATGGAGGGTGTGTTGGAGGTCAAAGGCTCGTGTGTTAGCTTGGATATGTTATATGTAATGTGTTTGATAACTTCTTTCTTGTGTGCTTAAGCTGAGATGAGATATGGTACAAGTTATGCAATGTTACTTGAAAATGAAGCAAGCAATGGTCACTTTTTGTTTTTAGGTCAGTAGGGGCCTCTAATCCTGCTGCATAAGCCTCTCTTGATCAGAGCAATTTGCCCATAATCTTGTGCCAAAAGGATTTTGCTTGTACCTTCTTGATTTGCAATTGGACATAAAGTTAATCTTTTCAAAAATGGAAAGTTCACTTTATCTAGTTTAGGATTAATCCACTATGCAATGTTATAACACAAAGAACATGGTCTTAACACATTGAATATGCATTAAATTATTGAGTATGGAATGGTTCAAGGACCTGTAATCAAGCATAAAGCAAGCTGAGTTCAAATTTGCAAGATTATGAACATGTCTTGATGAAGAACAAAAGTGAATTTTTGCCAATTTGTGAAATTCGAATCTCTCAAGTTATGAGGTTGTTTGATGAGTTTTTGGACATTTTGGAAAGCTTGGAATGTGTAATACAATCCATCTTTGAAATGCAAATTAAAATTCCAAGTGGAAGGGCATGAAAAGTGGCCTTGAAGTGGGGTAGAAAACCTTGTCAAAATAGGTTAAAATTTCACTAAGTTAAAAATGGTTTAGTGCTCTTATTCAAAAAATTATAACTTGAGATACAAGCTTCAAATGAGAAAACTTTGTGAATCAAAGTTGTAGATTATGCAACAAGCTACAACTTTCATGTTTTGACTTTTGTTTGAATCCAAATGGATCTTGGTGAAAAGATGGGGCAAAGTTGGGAAAAAATTAGGGTTTTTCATAACTTAGAAAAATTCTAAGTTATGAAAAATTCCATTTTCTTCCTAATTTGCATTTTGTGATTTCTTGGTGAACAAGTTTCATGATTTGGCATGGTTTGATGAAAAATGAATCTTGACTCTTGATTTTGACCAAAAAGTCAAAGTTTGACTTTTCAGTGTACAGTCAAAATTGATCAATTGACTGGGAAATTCAACTGTCAATCTTGTGTACTTGGGATTTTTTGAGCTTTTTGAGCATGTCAAGATAATTACATGGGGTCCTTGAGTCCATATGTGAGCTTGGTTTGCCATTGGCTAAGTCAAACAGTCAAAAATTGCCTTTGTGCAGTCAAAACCCTAAAAATAACCATTTTGCCCTTTTGATGATCTGATCAAATTTCTTATGGAATTGTGATCCAAACTTGATCAAATGGTTCATGTGAGTTCATAATGTTGATGTGGGTCAAATTTCATGAGGTTTGACTGTCAATTGACCACAGTTGACTTTTTCCCCAATACAGCTGATTTCTAGGTCAACTGTCCAATTGACTGGGCAAAACTGGGAATCAAGACTTGAAACTTGGTGAGGATAATCTTGGGAGTCCAATATGAAGCATGAAAGTCATCTTAGGCATTTTAGGTCAAAACATCCTTAGGCAAACACAAACCCTAATTTGAGTCCACAGTGCAAGGAGAAGTCTTGAGCAGAGGAAACCCTAACTGGATCTTGATCTTCAAGGGTCTTGTGATGAGAAAATGTTGAGGAAATGGGAGGGCAAATTTTGGGGTACAACATCGTGACATTGTGTGTTGTTGAGACACCAGTCTTGACTTCTGTTATTTATACTGCCAGAATTTCAAGAATAATGAAATCTTGCCTCATTGAAGATAACATCCCTAGAAATGTAGATTCTGCCATTAGAAGTCAAGCACTTATAACCCTTATGATTAGATGAGTAGCTTAGAAAAATGCACTCTTGAGAGTGAAAATCGAACTTTTAAGCTAAATATGATCTTAGATGTGGAAAGTAGACACATCCAAAGCCCTTAAGGGATTTATACTCAGGATCAACATTATAAAGCATGAAGTAAGGAGACTTCATGCTTAATAAAGGGGTAAGCATTTTGTTTATTTGATAGGCAACATTTAGACAGGCATGATCCCATAATTCCATAGGTAAATTTGCTTGGGCAAGCAAAGTTAAACTTGTTTCAACAACATGCATATGCTTTCTTTCAACTGAGTCATGTTAGTTAAAACTCTGTTACTACCGAGTATTTATAGTTACATTATGAAGTCTAAATTTAACAATTTAACAACACTCTTATATCTATTATTCTAATGCTTATATCTAATACTCTTATACAAGATAAGAGACGAAAAAAGATATTTAGCCTTTAATTATATATATATATATATATATATATATATATATATATATATATATATATATATATATATATATATATATATATATATACGAGAAGATAAAGATTCATGGCAGAAATAAAAAATTCTTTAATAAAATCTAAAATTCATCACTAAAACTGTTAGAGAAGATGAATATTTATAGATGAATCCAAAATCTAAAATATATATAATTTTAAAATTACTTTTGTGTGATGGATTTTGGATTCATCTATAAATATTCATCTTCTCTAACAGTTTTAGTGATGAATTTTAGATTTTATTAAAGAATTTTTTATTTCTGCCATGAATCTTTATCTTCTCGTCTTTTATAACAGACGTAACATCTAATTTATCCATAAATATTTAATTTTTATTAGAGATATACTTGACTTTACATATTGTGGCCAAATCTTCTTTAGAGGCTAGTAGTTTTCATCATAAATGTAGGATAAGGGTTGTTTGCCGATATTAGCCTAACTCTGTCTTTTTCTACTGGTTTGCAATTTTCTTTTCAAACAATTGGACAAAATTTTCTAATTAAGATGTCTTCATTTTAAGTAGGGGTATCCAAAAAAACTGGTTTACACGAACCAATTTTAAAAATTCAGTGCACCAATTTTTATAATCCAATTTGTGTTGGATGTAAACTGCTCCAGATCCATTTTGATATCAAAACAAAAATCTGGTTTTCATTTTTCATAACCAGTTGTCATACATAAAACCAAATGTATATGATATTATTATTAATGAATAAGGTATTATTAAGGTGCAGGAAATTCAAATGCATGTAAACCAGTTTATATAATATTCAAATTGAAAATGGAAAACCAGTTTATATATTTTATTTATTATTAATTAGTTAATTAGAGTGGTGATTAGTTAAGGGAAGAAGAACTTATTAAGTTAATTGTGATGAACGATTGTTAATCTGTGTTTTTTTGTTTAACTTTTATGGTGTAGCAATTGTTTTGAAGCAGATTTTGTCTTGGTTTTAGAATGTTTTGTTTTAGTTTTTTGGGTTCTAGTTTTAGTGTTCTGGTGCAACTTTATCATGGATTAAAGTGTAATGTTTTTACTCTTGAATTGAATTTTACTTTTTTGCTTTTCAAAAAAATTGTGATAAACAATTTGTGTTGATGTTTGAATAAAATAGTATAAAAATGACACATGCCTTTGCATCTTGTTCCCTTCATTAACCTGGATTTTTTTCGTCTCTTCAAATTAAGAAAGATACAATTTCCTTATAAACCAATTTTGATTGAAAATCGATTTAAACCGGTTTTGAACCGAATTGAAACCATTTTGCAATTTTAAATTGGTTATTATAAAAAACAGCTTGATTTTAAAACTAGAACCATTAAAATGGATTGGTTCTTAAAATTTGGTAATCATGCACACCCTTAACTTTAAACAAAATTTATGAACCAAATATCTTATTTAACCAGCATGGGAGAAAAGAATTAATTATATTATTATTATTATTATTATTATTATTATTATTATTATTATTATTATTATTAACTAGTTAAATAAATAAAACATTATTTACATAAATTTAAAAACAAGGGATTATTTGTTTTTCCCTTATCACCGTAAGCTCTTGTTTATTATTTTGACCTAAAATACTTGACATTTAGAGAATTATATTCAAGGTGTGTTATTTTAGAATTAAAAAAAAAATGTATTGCGATAAGTAAATCAATCTTATACAACTACAATAAATGAATTAAGATTTTGGTTTAAATGTCTTTTTAAATCTCTATTTTTATATTTTTTTAAATTTTAATCCTCTCATTTTAAAAATTAAGTTTTTTATACTAAACTTTATGACATTTGAGATTTTCATGATTCCCCTCTATAAAGAGATCTTATTAATGATGTGGCATGATAACTGCGCACTACATCATTTTTCTTTTTTGAATATTTTAATAACTTCTAATTTTTTTTTTATTTTACAAAATATTATAACTTTTATTTTAATAAATTTAATTTATTTGTGATTTTTTTAATAAAATTTATTCTTTGGAAAATAAATTTTATTTTTAGAAAATAATTAATTAAATGTGATTTTTTTAAGAACTTTTTTTTTAGTTTAGAAGTTAATTATAATTTTGAAAAGTAGAAATTAATAAGAAGTTAGTTATAATTTTGAAAAGTATTTTGATCTAAAGCATAATGCCCATTTTGTTATCAAAAAATTCATTATCTAGATACAACAAACTACGTTCCAATAAGATATATAAACACTATCCGTTTTGGTTAAAAAAAACGATGTGGGAGTTGAATGAAAAACAAAACCACAATTTGCTTGTTTCTATTATTTCTCGAGTCATTTCAGTTTTAAAAACTCATGATAATCAAAGCGGTGGCACTTTGGAGGATAGGATAATGCACAAATGCAATTGTTGCAAGCTGCGTGACAAATTTTGCCATCTTCTAATTTCTGCTATTTTCTGCAATCTTGTATATATCATTTTGGTTCTTTGTTTTGAAACTGCATTAATGTTGGTTGTTCTTAGTTGTACTCTTTCCATAATTGATATGGCTCTTTATTGTTATGAGTCATATATATCACATTTATTCTCATGCTTTCCACCGCTAAACAACATAAGTTATATGCTTCTTAATCTTGCTTCATTTTTGTTCTTCACAATTATGTCACCATTCCTCTTGATTATCTATGTTGTTCTTTTCCATTTAAGATATGAATTTATAATTTGTTTATTTGTTGTTTTATGGTCAATGCTTAATTTGCATGGAATGAACAGGGTGGAGCATCATTAATTAGAGCAATGGTTTCAAAGGAGGTATAGTATATGATAAAGAGCGTACCGTTAACTTTCTTTATTTTTTATTATTTTAGTCCCACGTCCTTATTTTTTTATAAAAATATTGTGTTTATAATGCCGGTTCATGCTATGGGATTGATTAGAAAAGTCACTATGTGGGTCAAAAATGCTAGACCAATAATTTTTATTTTAAGTATTAACTATTACTTAATTATTTAAATTTAAAAAATAACATGATTAAAAATTAATTTAAAAAATAACATAATTAATATATGAGAAAAGAAGTGATGCGGTCAGGATCTAATATAGTTGAGATTATAAAAGTCTCTAATATAGTTGAGATTGTAAAAGTCTTGAAAGACATAACATTTAAAGACTAAAATGTAATTTTTAAAGTAAAGGAACTAAAACTTAAAAATAAGAGGACAAGTGCATTTCAAAAGTAATAAATATTTACTTTAAAAAAAAATTGGACATAAATAATTAAAATGTAAAAATTGATTTTTTTTCCCTACAATGTATATAGAAAATTGATATTATAATAATTAAATAAACCAGTGCATGTTGATTTGATTTGATACGGACAATTTCAAGATTCATTGTTTAGAGTAAGTACGTCACAATTAAATAATAATATAATAAATTTTGAAGATAAAATAAAATTGTATATAAATAATTTTTTATATGAATTTATTCAATTTTTATAATTGTAGAATTATAATTAAATATATGTACAATTTTAAAAAATAATTTATTCATTGACTAAATCTCACAAAACATGACCACATTGAAAATTTTCCTCAAAAAACAAAAATGTGGACATTGAAAATTTAATAAGGAAAAAGTGTGAAGTTAAAAGTTTCGGTTCATTTTTGCATTGAAGTGAGTCTATTTATTATCAAAACAACAAGGAGAAAGAGAGAACAAGAAACAACAATGGGAACCGTAACACCGTCTTTTGCAACAGAATTAGCATCACCTGAAGCTAAAATTACTGCCATTTTCAGCTACCCAATCAAGTCATGCCGTGGAATTTCGCTTCCTCATGCTCCTCTCACTCCTTTTGGTATCATATTTCTTCTTCTTGTTCTTTTTTTTTTTTTTGTTTGAATTTAATTGCAACTTTTTTATTCAATGTTTTTACTTGATAGGAATTCGATGGGATCGACAGTGGGTTGTTGTGAACTCAAAAGGGAGGGCATGCACGCAAAGAGTTGAACCAAAGCTTGCTTTGGTTGAGGTTCAACTTCCACCTGAGGCTTTTCTTGAACACTGGGAACCTACCACTGATTCCTTTATGGGTATATTACATTTTTCTGTGTTTATATATTTTATTCATTAACAACTATGCTGCAATTAAATAAATTAGGAGGTTCCTACTCTGCAATTGTGGTGCGATGCAGTTGTGAAGCATCAGCAGTGGTGCAACCATGGTTTCCATGCATGCTTTTAAATTGCAGTTGCGGTGCTGATTTTGGTTTCTAATCAAATAGATTTTGTACTTAATCGATTAGAGATTAGTTGCTTGTACTGATTTGAGTTTCTAATGAATTAGATTTTGTACTTAATCGATTAGAGATTGGTTGCTGATTTGTGTTTCTAATCAATTAGATTTTGCCTCTTAATCGATTAAACGTAACAGTTAATTGATTAAGATTATCATAAATGGAAAATGTAAACTCTTTTTGAACAGCATCCAAAAGAAGATGTGAGATAAAAGTAATTGATATCTTAAGAGATGTGAACTAGTGCCAAATACATCAAATGCTTGCCTAAACTGCACGCACCTAAAGAACTTACACCTCTTTGTCTCTATCGTAAACTTCATAAAGAACCAAAATTAGTATAAAGCCAAATGTGTGACTCATCCCTTTTTGATATCTTATTTAGTTTGAACATGATTTTTAAATATCATTTTCTGTGTTTTGTTTCGTACATTGTGCTTAAATTTCTTACATAATTTGACAGATGCTGGGTTTCCTTCTGTTCTTAATTTTGAGAGAATAAAAAAATTGCAGTAGAACACGGATGACCTTTTGATCATGATTTTCTTTTTTCTTCTTCTTTGTTTAGTTAATGAATAGTGCTTCTTTTCTCATTTTACAGTGTTGAAAGCACCTGGAATGGAACCTCTCAAAGTTTGTTTGAACAAACACTATGAAGTGGTAGATGATATTACCGTCTGGGAATGGAATGGGCCTGCCTGGGACGAGGGAGCCGAAGCATCGGAGTGGTTCTCAAATTATTTAGAAAAACCTAGTAAACTGGTCCGCTTTAATACTGGTAACGTCTTTCAAACCTTATATAATAAGAAAACAACGATAATAATGTTTAGAAGTATTTTCTGCTTTTATAGTAAATGTTGTTTAATGTAGCGTGAACAAAACTCAATTTAACATACATGAACTGCAGTCGCTATATGCATGTCATAAATAGCCATGATAACTTTTGACTAATGTTTTCAATTGCAGCTTCAGGAGTTAGAAATGTAGACCCTGGTTATGTTGAGGGACAGCAGCAGATCTTCTTCAGTGATGGTTATCCATTCTTACTCTTGTCTCAGGTCAGGCCAGTTGCAGTTGAGAAACAAAGTTGAAACTTACTTATTTAAGTCTTTATGTTTTACTTTACATTTATTGCTTTCAGGAATCATTGGATGCACTAAACAAGCTTCTAGAGGAACCGATACCTATGAATCGATTCAGACCCAAGTATTGATTTGTTCATGTCTTCTCATCTCCTGTTATAATATTTATATTATTTCATTGCATATGTTACTAGTTTAGATTACATGATTGAGATTTTGGTGGCACATGGTGCAGTATCCTTGTTGAAGGTTGCGAACCAAATGCTGAAGACTTGTGGAGAGATATCAAGATAGGCAGGTTTTCGTTTCAGGGTGTCAAGCTGTGTGACCGTTGTAAGGTAGAAAGCTCTACTCAATATTTTCCTACCTATCATATAGCTAACAAAATCCTTAAGAACATAGAAAACCAAGGAAACTATATCAATGATAATAAATTAAATATGGTAATCCATGTTTTGCTTTTATTTCATAATCTAGTTATGCATCCAAATTTCATTATTGATGATGCATATGTTATGGTCAGGTACCAACGGTAAATCAAGAGACAGCAAAATTTGGCACTGAACCAACAGAAACTCTCATGAAAGTTAGGTCTGGCCATGTCTTGAGACCAAATGAAAAAAACAAAAACAAGGTGAGGCATTTAGTCATCAAATTTTCAATGAATGTTTCTTTGGTTTCATTCGTGTCAAGTGTGAAATGCTTGTGCAGGTCTACTTTGGTCAACTTATAGTGTGGAACTGGAAGGATTCTTCTGCTAAAGGGGATGGAAACGTGCTTAAATTGGGAGATCCTGTTTACATCAACAAGAAATTCTCTTCTCCATCAGAAGCAGCGGCTTAAAAGACTACAATTACACAATCGTCATCAAACATGAGTATCAGTGGCTATGATGAAATAAAGGGATTACATTTACATGATCGATGAACAATATTGCTTTGACTAGTAAATTGTAATGCATCTATTGTGTCTTGTATCCATCCAATTAATAATATGACAATAAGGATCGTGCAAACAATAAAAAAAAGTCTTTTTAGAGTGTAATTGCTGTGAGTACTATATGTTGAGAATCAAGTGTGAGGAAGAAGTCCCACATTGATTATAAAAAGGGAAGATTGAGCACTTATATATGAGAGAACTCACTCATCTATTACCTTAAGGTTTTAGATGGACAAATGGTGTGTCTCTGACAAAGGTGTGTCCCAAGTAAAATGCTCTCCTACAGTGGTATTTCGAGATAGGGACCTTCTTGTAAAAGTCAGCAGAACCCTTATTAGGGTGAGAGGGTTATTTGTTATTCTTGTGTACTTGTAATAAGAGAAAGTAATAACCTTAATTAGGAGTGGCGAATCATCTGATATTCGATACTATCATTGTAAGAAGGAAGATCACACAAGCTAGCTGAAGTTTTTGACGTCGTGTTAAAAAGAGGAGAAAAACATCTTTGGAGATATTTGGGGTTTTCGACAAAAGAGCATTTTTCGCTAAAGGTCGTTAGAATTAGGGGTGTTCATTCATTTGTATAAAAATCTCACATAAACTCAAAGTATATGCGTATTGAGAAAAGAGTCCTCTGAAAAATATACGTGTAAACACCATCTTTCATTCAATTTACATTTATCATTCCAGAATTTACTTTTAGCAATTTGTTTTCAATTGCCTTTATTGCAATTTATTTACAAGTTTACTTTAGAGAGTCATTTAGATCAAAACAAACATTATCGAAAGATCATGAATATTGTCGAAGTGTTCTTTATTTTAAAGAACAAAGTTTAAATAAGAACGCATGTCTTAGGATTAATCTATTTGATCCTATGAGTAACCAAGAACTTTTAGTTGTTTGAAAGACTAGCGCTTGTTTACTAAAAATCAGGGTAAATAGGAATATGTTTTCAAAGGAGAGAAAAGTATCCTACGATTCATGAAGGGGTCGAAGGAAGTCTTGAGAAGCGTGAAGAAGCAAGGCTTGTATACCCTTGAGGCTGAAGTTGTAAGTGGTTCGAAAAATATTGCATCCACGAAACCTTTGTCAAAGAAAGAAATTTGGCACATGAGATTGGGTCATGTCAGTGAAAGAGGTTTGGTAGAATTAGGGAAACAAAATTTTCTTGGTGGAGACAAAGTCGAAAAGCTGAAATTTTTGAACCCTGTGTACTTGGAAAATCTTATAGAGTGAAGTTCAACAAAGGCAAACAAATAACACATGGATCCCTTGATTACATCCATGCTGATCTTTGGGAGCCTCTGAGATGTCTATCACATTCAGGAGCAAGGTATTTTCTATCCATAGTAGATGATTTTCCAGAAATTTATGGGTATTCATCCAAAAGACTAAGGATAAAACTTTTGAGAATTTCAAAAGTTGGAAGACTCTTGTCGAAAATCAAACTGGCAGAAAGTTCAAGAGGTTGAGAACCGACAATGGCCTTGAATTTTGCATTAAAGCTTTCGACAATTTTGTGTTGCCTCTGGTATTGCAAGACACAAAACTACTGCAGGTACTCTAAAACAAAATGGTTTGGCTGAAAGGTTTAATCAAACTATTTTAGAGAGATTTAGATGCGTGTCGACTAGTGTTGGGTTAAAGAATGTGTTTTGGGATGAGGCTATTTCGACAGTAACATATCTGATAAACAGATATCCTTCGACTATATTAGATATGAAGACACCTGAAGAAGTTTGGTCGGAACATCCACCAGATCTCGACAACCTAAGAGTATTTGGCTGCGTAGCCTATGCTCACATTAGGCAAGACACGGTCAAACCTAGAGCTTTGAAATTCATGTTCATGGGATACCCTGAAGGATTCAAAGCTTATAGGTTATGGTTCCTAGAGCCAGGTCACGGGAGGTGTATCACCAATCGAGATGTAGTTTTCAATGAAGCTGAAATGGCTTTCAAGAAAACTAATGATGTTGATCGAAGTACAAAAATATTTGATGAAGAGTTGGAACAGAAAGAGAATCATGTTGAGGTGTTGCATGTTGATATTGAATTGCGTATTCCAGATGAAGTCGAAGAAAAAGAAGAAGATGTTGAGGAAGTTAAGGAAACTTTCGATGACTACCTATTGGAAAGAGATAGGACGAGAAGATTCGTCAAGCCACCTCAGATACTAGGGTATGCAGATCTTATAGTTTATGCCTTAATCTCTGCAAGTGAGGTTCTAGACGAAGAACCTAGGGATTATAAGGAAGTTATGAGGAGTTGAAATAAGACTGAATGGCTGAAGGCCATGGGTGATGAGATGAAATCTCTTCATGATAAAAACACTTGGGAACTGATCAAGAAACCTGTTGGAGCCAGGTTAGTCAGCTGTAAGTGGATTTTCAAAGTTAAGGAAGGAATCAAAGGAGTGTCGTTGAAAATATACAAGACAAGGTTGGTTGCAAGGGGTTTGACTCAGAAAGAAGGTGTCGACTTTAATAATGTGTTTTCTTCTGTTGTGAAGCACATGTTCATTCGAATGTTGCTTGCCATGGTGACACAGTTTGACCTAGAACTGGAACAAATGGATGTGAAGACTGCATTCTTGTATGGTGATCTAGATGAAACAATCCTGATGAGGAAACCTGAAGGGTATGTCGAAAATGGAAAGTAAAATTATGTGTGCAAGTTGAATAAATCTTTATATGGGCTTAAGCAATCTCCTCGATAGTGGAATAGGAGATTCGACAAGTTCATGGAACGCATAAGTTTCATTAGAAGTCAGTTCGACCACTGTGTTTACTTCAGATTTCGTCCTGGTAAATAGTTTATTATTTTGTTTTTTCATGTTGATGATATTCTCATAGCAAGAAATATTGTCGAAGATGTAATTAGGGTAAAGTTTGAACTCAATAAGGAGTTCGAAATGAAGGATCTGGGAGCTGCATCCAGGATTCTTGGGATTAACATTCGAAGAGATAGAAAGCGGTCAAAATTATGTTTATCTCAAGAGGCATACCTACAGAAGATTCTCGACAAGTTTGGTATGTCGAATTCAAAGCATGTTGTGACTCCAACATACCCTCAATTCAAGCTAAGTGTAGATCAGTGTCCCAGTATTGAGGTCAAAAGAGCTTATATGAATAGCATCCCAAATGCTAACATAGTAGGTTCTTTGATATATCTTATGGTTTGTACTATACCCAATATAGCATATGCAGTAAGTCTTGTAGTAGATACATGTTGAATCCTAGAAAGGATCACTGACAAGCATTGAAGTGAATTCTAAGGTACATAAATGGGTCTCTGAACAGAGTCTTAATTTATGGTGGAGCCTTGGGTTAAGATAGTAGAGCAGTAATCAAAGGATATGTCGACTCTGATTATGCAGGTTGTATGGATTCCAGAAAATCTATTTCCGGATATGTTTTCATTATGTTTGGTACAACAATTAGTTGGAAATCAACACTTCAGAAGGTTGTCACATTATCAACCACTTAAGCGAAATATATTGCTTTAACTGAAGTTGTGAAAGAAGCATTGTGGCTTGAAGGTTTTGATAAGGAGCTGAAAGTTCAAGGGCAAGTTATCACTGTTAAATGTGATACACAAAGTGCAATACACTTGTCGAAGAATTCATCCTATCATGAGCGAACCAAGTACATCGATGTGAGGCTGCATTTCTTCAGATGAGTAATCTAACATAGAGAAGTCCAAGTGTTGAAGGTTTCAACAAATCAAAATGATGTTGATATGATCCCCAAGACATTACCCAGTTGCAAGTTTTTCCACTATGTGCAGTTGATAAGGCTGCATGAAGAAAGATAGTTTGTTCTTGGATATTAGAGTTTGTTCCAAGGTTGAGATTTGTGAGATATTGGATTGTGTAAGTTCTCTAGTTTTAGGATTGGCATTAATTTTTGTAAAACAAATAAGACAACAATATGTTAGATAGGATATGTTATATTGCTAAGAGGAACGTGTTAAGCAAGCAATCCTATTCTATGTTAGGACATGTTGAGTTGAAGTGTTTCAACATCTTGAGCAACATGTCGGATAAGATATCTTATACAAGTCACACGACATCGCGAGGACTGATACAAGAGTTAAACGCAAATCAAATCACCGCACTAAGGCATTTCAAAACATTTTCTTTCAAACACACAAAGCACAAAGTACTTTCAAAATGATCAAACTTCTAAGAGCTCGTATATAACTACGGATGGAAAGGGTACTAACACCTTCCCTTTCCATAATCTACCCCCCTTACTCAGAAAATCTCGAAAAGGTATTTTTCTATTCTTTTCACCCTTTCCTTAATTTGGATAAAAAAAAATTCGGTGGCGACTCTTGCTTACCGCAACATTTTGCGAACATAAACGCAAAACCCGTATTAAACAGTCGGTTCTGCCACCGTATCACACTTTCTATTGTTCATATATGTTGGAGACCAGAATTCTTGTTTTAACTAGATTTTATTATGCTTTATCTTTTATTTTGTGTTGATTGTATGAATGCATGAAAAGGATCAAGGCATTTGTTTGATTTTGAGAACAACTACCTAGCCAAATAGTCAATTCACCTTGTGAGTGTATGAACTTTTGTAACCCCTTTTGAGCCTTTTTGAACCATGTTGTTTTTTAACCTAATGCTTGTCTATGAGTGTTGGTTTTCCTTTTTGAATGGACATTGATTCTTTATTTTCTTGAACCCTTAACTATGATTTATAGTTTGAATTTTCGCTTTGCCTTAGAAAGTAGGGAGTATTCATATTATGATGATGGTTGAATTTAAGTTGAGGAGAGAAATGTTTATGTGCTTATGTTGCAATTGTTATGAGGTTGTAAAAGAAAGAAAATAAGAAAAAGAGAAAGAAAAAGAGAAGAAAAAGAAGAAGAAGAAGAAATTGAAAAAGC